ACAAACCAGCACGCACGACCGCACCACGCAGCACATGCACTCAACTTGCGATGAGCAGCAAGTCGGGTCAGCAGCAACGCGCGAGGCCGCGCGTTCCGAGATGCAGGCCGAACCGGCCACCTCGCTTTGCTCTCGGCGTAGCCGTAGCCGCTCGCCGCGGCTTGGTGACGATGCCGAGTCGCCCCGCCATTCGACTCGGGACCTGCCGCTCGGCATCGGGCCTGCCTCGGCGCGCCCCCCCCCCCCCCCCGCCTCAGGGGCCGCGATGGCGAAGCCTTGTGCCAGCGACGTCTTGGCCCCAGGGGGGCCTGCAACCGCGACTGCGGTCGAGGGCACATTCTCTGATGAGCCCGCGGCCCTTGGAGAGGCCAAGCGCGATGCCTTGCACAGGTTTTACAAGGCTTCCTCAGCGGCCTACTTGGCACGCGATGAAGCTGGGGACCTCAGCGTTGCAACTGCGGCCGAAGAGCAGGCAGCGCTCGCGGCGCGCGAGCGCCACGAGGTGGCTCTCGCACGGACGGGGCACGTCGCGCTCTCCACAACACACGGCGCACAATAACCTCAAGGTAACACAGGTTGCAATAAACAACCTCAAATTCTTGACGCTTCGCGCATCCCCACCAGCCCATCCAGAAACAATCAGCAGGGGAGTTGGTGAATCAGGGGCGGCAGGACGCATGCAGTCGCGCAGCCGTCTTCGAGAACACAAGCATCACACATAGCTTCCCGCATTGAAGTTCAAGATGGAAGTCCGTGCAAATTACGATGGTGCTTCGATGAGAGGTGTTGGGTATTTCGATGGCTCGCAATGGCTGTTGCACTGGTTTGTATCTTAAGCTCGCGTGCGTTCCGAAACTTGGGGGCATCTTGGGGCCCTCTTGGGGTTCTCTTGGGCCCCTCTTGGGGTCTCCTGGGGCTCTTTCTTGGGGCTCTCCTGGTGTGCCCTTAGGGCCTTTTTGGGGCTTCTTGGGGCTCTTGTGGTGCCTTCTCTGGGCTTTTGGGGGGTATTGGGGCCCTCTTGGGGCTCTTTGGAGGGAGGGGTTTTGGGAGGCCTCTCGGGGCCGTTTTGGCTCTTATGGCTAAAGAGGGTGTGTGTGTGTGTGTGTGTGTGTGTGTGTGTGTGTGTGTGTGTGTGTGTGTTCAATTCTTGCCCACCCCCCTCGGGTGCTCAAAAATGCAGTCTTGGGACCCTCTTTGCCCGCTCTTGGAACGTTCTTGGGCGCTCTTGGGGCCGTCTTGGGGCTCGGTTGGGCCCCTCTCGGGGCTGCCTTGGGCCATCCTGGGGCCATCTTGAGGCCCCGAGAGCCCTTCGGAGGCGACTAAGCGATAAGGCAAACACCATTTATTTTCTTCAGGTTGTTGAAGGTTTTTGGCGTCTTGCGGGGGTCCTTGGGGGCCTCGGAGGGCACTTGAAACCGCGTTGGGGCCGTCATGAGGCCTCCTGGACGCGCGTCGGAGGCCATCTTGACCCGTCTACCGCTATCTTGGGCCATCTTGTAGGCCATCTTGCGTTCTCGGAGGCCCTCTTGGAGCCATCTTGGGCCATCTTGGACGCTGCAATGGGCCCGCCCGCCCCCCCCCCCCGTCCAAATGCAGGGAGGGGTGGGGAGGTAAACCTCCCGAGCAGGGAAAGGCAGGAGGTTGGAAAAGGAAACGGCCTAGACCACCCGCGCCCAGAGGGCCGGTGGGATTTCGCCGCCAAGATGCGCCACGATGGCGCAAGCGCGGTGGTGGGCCAAGGAGAAGAGGGAGGATTGCGATGCGGGTCGGGGAGGGTGCGGCAATGAGGAGGAATGAGCCAAGGAGGTGATTATCTTCTAAGTCCTTTTTCTCTTGCTCGCAGTAAGAGCGCATTCCCGCGTGATATGTGAGGAGGTTTCTTGCGGTGAAGGTGGAGCGGTGAAGGTGGGTGCTGGGCGCCCCGCCAGAACGCGCTGCTAGGTTTCGAGGAGGGGTGGGGTGTGCATCCGATGTTGGCCTGGGTGTGGGCCGACGCCAACGTCGAGCCGTGGCGCGATCGTGGCGCCGCTGGCGTTTCAGGCTCTAGACTTTAGCCGTTGCGTCGGCGAGGTTGGTTTCGCATGCTTGCCGTGTATATAGTATGGGCGATGGGGATCATGGCCCGCAACATGCTGGCGTTTGGGGGAACGCCGATGAGTCCGCAGGGAGTGGGGAGCTACGGGCATCCGGACGTCCAACGCCTGAGAGCTACCAGACTTCCAAAGCACCTCCAGCTGTGTCGCCGCGTGCCCAGCCGCCCGCCATCAGTGGTCCAAGCGACAACCCCGTTCCTACGGCGCTGCCGTCGTCCGATGCCGAGGGCCACCGTCAAGGTCGAGATTGTGGCGCGCAAGTGCCGCTGCCGCTACTCTTCGCCACTGCGAAACACAATGGCGGCGCGCTTCCCCCACGCGTCGCCATACCAACGTCAATGCAGAGCGGCCTCATGCCAGCCGTGGTCCAGAACGCCGATGCTGCGCCTTCGCCGCCTGCTGGATCGACGCTGGGACCCCAGCATGGTGAGGTTGCACAGCTGTCGCCGACTGATCTCCGAGAGCACCGTTATCCAGGTCATGTTTGTGATGGGCCTCATCCTTCTGATGATGGGCGCGTTGTTCATAGCACCGCACCTGGTACGCTCGATGTCGGGGAGGCTGCCGACGCACCAGTTGACCCTCGAGAGGGCTTCTGCGCGCCACCCTGGTGGACTGAGGAGCTACGTGAAAGCCTCGAAATGTTCGATTTCAGCTTCCAGCGCTCTCTCGCCGCATGGCAAGAGCCCCGCATCATATGGCGGAGGTGGAGCAACCTCATGGTCGCAGCTGGCAGGGGTGCTGAGCTCGACAGCACGAACCTGCATGATTTGCGCCTCTGGAGTTCCTCGACCGACGAGGCCACGAAATGAAGCATCGGCCACGCCCGCATTGATGATCTTGAGCTTAGGGGTACCTTGGCTCATGACCGTTGCCGCGGTGGTGGCTGGTGTCACGCTAGGTTGAGCAAATGTTGGATGCCGAGCGCGCCGCGAGCAGCGGCGACGCTGGCAACGACAATGGTGATCATAACGGCGCCGCACTTTCGGACACACTTGACTTTCCTTGGGTGCCCAAAGGAGGACGATCAGCAGGAGGAACGCCTGGAGGATGAGGCTCAGGAGCGGGAAGGGGGGACGGATAAGGACACGGGAAGGAAGATGAAGGAGGTGCAGTGCGGCAGGATTCATGAGAGTTGGTTTGTGTTTTGGCGTGCGGTCCTGGCTGATATGTGCATTATATATGCGTTGCACATAACAAAGAGAAGTACACGCTCCCAGCGTTTTTTTTCGATCTGGAGGTTCTCGATATGTGTGTTCCTGGTTCCTTCGGTGCTTCCAGGGGTTTGGTTTCTTGCCGATGTTGGGGGCCAAGGGTTTCTGCGAGGGGGCTGTTCTAGGTTTGGATGTTCTGGCCCCGACAGGTTGAGAAGGTGAAGCAGCTTGCGCCCGACAGGATCCTCGCTGCAGGTGAGAGCGATCGTGGCAAAGCCTGGACCATCACGAAGGCGAGCAACATTGCTCTGCCCGTGGAGTCGGAGGCCGCGCTCCTGGGCGAAGCGGCCGCGTCGGCCAGGATGATTGCCGAGAACACCAAGCAATTCAAGCAGCTGCTGGACATCATGGCCATCTTTGCGCCTGATGGTGCTCCTTTCGGCCTCCACAGGCCAGTGCTCGGCGCCATCCGTGACATGTCTCTCACTGACAAGCTTGCGAGCTCCAACAAAGTTTTGATCGAGGAGACCTTCTGCGATTTTGTCATCCAAGGGAAGACGGGGTTCCTGCCACTCTGGCCCTGGCTGAGGCGTACACCACCTACTTGGAGGAGGCTCTGGCGACCGTCCCCGAGAACGCTAAGTTCCTGAAGCTCGCATGGCCCAGTCTCGATGCTATTCGTGCAGTTGTGGCTTTGACCGAGCAGACAGTGGAGTCGGTATGTGCACACGCGCAGGAGGTGAAGGAACTCAAGGATGCAACTGATAAGTCAGGCAATCGGTGACGCTGCGCGTTTCCCCCAGGAGAAGAACTAGGAGGCTAACAACTGCTGGCCGTCGGCAGTTGTTATCTTCCTCTTGATTTTCCTGATGGTCCTCCTTCTCCTCCTCCTCGTCCTCTTCCTCCTCGTCCTCCTGGTGGCGTCTTGGAGGTCTCGTGGGGCGCTTTGGTCGGCTCTTGAGCCTTCGGGCGGGCGCGCGGCGCGCCGCCCGCTTGCGGCGGGCCCACGGTGATATTCCAAGACGCGCCTTGGTGCTTTCTCTGAGGATATCGGCCACGGAAGGGTGATTTTCTAAGTGGCCTCCCACCCTCAGGGGCCCAAGCAAATCGCAACTTGGACCCCTCATGTGGCGCTCTTGGAGTGCTCTTGGGTGCTCTTAGGGCCGTGTTGAGGCTCTCTTGGGCTTCACCTTGGGGTAAGGCCCTCTTGGGGCGATTTTGATGCTTCGTATGGCCACCAGAAGCGAAACTTTGGGACGGTCAAGCCAATTGGTTTCCTTGATGTTTGAAGGGCGCTGGTCTCTTCGGAGCTCCCTGGGGCGCTCTCTGGCCTCTTGGAGCCGTCTTGGGGTTGTCTTGAGGCTTCTTGGATCATCTTCGTAGCCATCTCGAGGCACCTTGCGCTAACCTGAGGCATCTTGGAAATCACCCTGGGCTCCCTGGGACCCTCTTGGGACTCTTGGGGCAGTCTTGGGCCCTCTTGGGTGCCCTGACCGTTCCCCCCGCCACCTGCGCCCGCCCAGGTCCAGGGCAGGTGGCGGCGGGTGGGTGGCGTGGGGATAACCCCCTCCCCGAAGGGAGCTGGATTGAAAGAGGAAGATCGCTAGTTAACATACGCCCTAAAGCCCTAAAGGGCAGGTTGGATTCGTTCCGCGCAGCGATTGACCAGGTGCTAATGGGCAGTGATTATTGGAGCGGCAAGCTCTTCGAGTTCTTGGAGGCCGAGGCCAAGTGCGAGACCTCTCGCCCGCAGATCAACGAGGGCAGCAATCGCTTGGAAGGGGGCCAGGGACATGCTCGAGAGCAACCCGACGGAGGCCTTCAATACGCTCGAGGAGGAGGCTCGCAGGTTGGCGCACTTCCGCGACGTGCTTCCGCAGGGCGCGTATGCCGAATACGAGAACTTGGTCAAGGTGGTGCTGACTGACGTCCAACGGTTCTTCAAGAACTTGTGCTCCAAGAATGACCCGCAGTCGATGATCTACCAGGTGCCTGTGCAGAAAGCCCTCTCCGAGTGCACGTTGGCCTTCCCGTTGGACGCGGGCGTGTCTGCCATGAGCGACGAGGTTGGCCAGCTCATCTGCGAGACGAGCTACGAGGCGCCGATCGAGAGCTTCTCCACGGCGTGCAAGCGCGCCTGGGCTTCACGTTGACATTTTTGGTCAGAGCATTGCTTGCAAGGAGCTGGTGGAGGCCCACGTTCAGGCATCCAAGCAGAGCAGGACCAAAGGTTGGAGCGATGCAGTTGACAATGCCAGCCTTGCGTACAGGGGCCTTGTCAACCTCAGCGTTGGCATCAATGACGAGACGAAGCTGCAGGATCTATTCGGCGCTGTTCGGGTTCTCGGCGACGCGCTTCGTGACATCGACGGTGGCGGGTACAATGGGATTGACGTGGCCCTCTCAAGCATTCGAGCCGATGCGACGCCTCAGAGCATCGCGGACGTTGGCGCCGCAGACCTCCTCGTGACGTGCCAAGAGAGCTCGAGCTTGGTCCCCGCGGCGCGTCAGGAGATCGAGCTGCTGCAGAGGACCATCGACGGCATCAATATTGCCGACGGTGATCTCGAGGGTGGTGCAGCGTTTCAGGCTTTGTACACCTTTGCCAAGACGGTCACCGACGCGGCGAAAGACCGCGTGAATGAGGTTTCCAAGGTGGCGCTGGATGGGTTCACAGCGTCGGCGAGACTCGCGGTGGCGGACGTGCTTCGCGCCTCGGAGAAGATGGGCAACGCGGACGCGTGGGCCGCGCTCACCGCCAAGACCACGGCGTGGGCTAAGTGGAGCGCCGAGGCCGCGCCGATCTTCAAGGATTTCAGGTCGGAGAACTTCAGCAGCCAGCTGGCTGCGCTTCACAAGGCCACGGCTTGCAGTAACTTGAGGTTGGCGTTCTGGGAGGTGGAGGGAGGAGTGGCACGTGAGTCGGGCGGGGGGATGGTTGGAGGGCCTCGGAGGGAGCGGGGGAGGATTGGGGTGGGAGCGGGTGGAGGAGGATGCGTGGTGGGGCGGTGGTGGCGTGGAGGGGCGGGAAGAGGAGGAGGAGGAGGAGGAGGAGGAGGAGGAGGAGGAGGAGGAGGAGGAGGGGGGAGGAGGGAGGAGGAGGAGGAGGACGATACCAACTCCCAAGTCGATAAGGTTACGAACTTGTCAGCCTCCTTTGCCTCCTCCTCCTCCTCCCCCTCCTCCTCCTGACCCTCTCTTTACCATCATCCAGTTCCAAATCATCACAGTTCGTGAGCTTACACCTTTCATTATCGACAGTCAAGGTCCACTGATTTCAGACAGTATCCCGGTTTTGGGAGAGCACGGCTATCTCACTACCAGGGACGTCACGAAGATTCTCTGGCACTTTGGGCTCAACACGTTTCGTTCCAAGGACATTCACTTGTTTAACGCGCGGTTTTATACCAAAGAAGCGTTCATTGGTCCTGAGGTCTGCCCTAAGAAGGAGAGGCTACACGACAAATCTCAGATCTTCGCTGGCAGCTGTATTGTGGCACTCCTCTACGTCAAGGACATGTATGAAGATGTTGGAGATCTTATAACGGTGGAGTCTGGCAATAACGGTGCCAATGTTAGGTGCCACCTGCTTTGCAAACCCCGTTTCTTGATGTGACCGAGGCAGTTCAGAAGATGCGAATAAATTCTTCCTTCCCTTTGGGTCCTCAGTTCTCTTCTTGGTTCAACTCTGGTTCAATCGGGGACCTCAGGCTTTTTCTCCGAGGCATGAATTAAGTTCTGCTCTCATCAATATGTCCGTCAGGGCCAAAGTAGTGGAGTCGTTTCTTGCTTTGCCCACAGCCTAGATGGGACATTTCTTAACTTGGGATTGCTTCGCTCTTAGTTTGGCCCTTCACTTCAGTTCAAAACGGGCTTGGATGGGATTGTCAATTTCATCACTTTGCCAGGATTATGGCTTTCGTTTCAATCTGGGAATGCTTGGGATTACGAGTGTCTCAGGGCATGAGGCCCCCAGGTCACCTCGCAGGAGCGGGGACTGCATCATATTCTTCTCAATTCGGCTGACGGGGTTAAGTGGGGTTGTTGCTCACTCTTTGCCCAAGTCCTCGATGTTTCAAGTTCTTTCTTGGGGTAGTTTGGCGTTCAGTTTGCCTCTTCACTTCAGTACAAAAGGAGTTCGGCCTGGGATTGTTAATCTCACCTTGCTGGCCAGGACGATGACTGCCGTCCGATCCCTGATAAAGTGCATCTCTTTTCTCTATCTCTTCATCTTTCGAATCCTTGTCTTTCGGTTGGCCTGTTGGCTTGGCCGCTTTCTGTAGTCATTTTGGTTCAATTCGCTTTGCACGTTCTGCTCCAACCTCTTCTCAAGTTTTCTGGGAACACACTCTCATGCTTGCCCCTCAGAGGGTCGTCAGGCCATGGAATTCAAAGTCGCTCCAGTGCTGTATCTTCGAGGCGTGGGCATCTGCCTGCCCACGTGCACTGGCAATCGAAAGTTCCGAGATCGTCCCTTTAAATTCAGGATCATACCACCCACGGAGATGTGTCACACTCCACATGTACGAGAAGGGACGCGAATTCGAGATACCTCTCAGGCAGCTATGGAACCTCTTTGAGGAGTTTTTCTCAAGTAAGGCGTGCAAAGACCTTATTGGGATTGTGGGAATTGCAGTACGCTCTATGTCTTTTGTACAGATTAAGACAATGTCATACAAGGGCGCAGTGTTCTACGACAACCGCTGGTCAGATCCTGGGAATTTCATTTACACTGTCTGGTGGAATATTTGGGGTCTAATGGCCAGGTATCTTCAAAGAAGACAACCTACCAGTGCTTCGTCCAAGTCCATGGAGGAGCTTCGATCAGTCGCTGGTCGTGTCACCGATGTACAGAGGATGGTCCGAGAACGGTGGAACGGGGAACCCGACACTTCTCGATGGCTAGAGCTCATCGGAGATTTGATGGAGTTAGGGTTGGGAGCGGGGTATGTTGAGCCAGATCGGTTCTGGAACATTATTCAGGGGATTTCTCCCATCATCTGCTCCATTCGGTCCATTTTGACATTTGCTGATCAACATGGGTCTTTCGCTAGGACCGGGAAAGACCGTCGCCTTTTTCGTGGCCCATGTGCACCCCGCACTCGGAAGTTTGCCGTGGCAATGTTCCACGGAATGCAAGTGCACAAATTTAATGTTACGGAATCCTCAGAGGTATGGGTATCTTACCTAATTGCAGCCTCAGAGAACAGGCTCCAATACTAATGGAGCGGGGGTATTTGACACCCCACGGAATTTACATTTGGGTCTGTTTCGAGACCCCTTTGTGTTCTCTCCTCTCTCTTTGCCTCCCGCCTACGGGATTGGCTGACACCAGGAGATGTCACTTGTGCGATTCTATCTGGGACCCGCCTGATCTCTGCGATCTTAGGGACACCGTGGCTTCGCAACAATCCCGCCTCCCTCTGTCTGCCTCTGATGGGCCCTTCCTCGTCCCTTGCCTCCTGTCGGCTCCTGCAGTCTCGGGCTCAAGCTTTCGGTATGCTACTTCCCAAGGCGTCAGACCCTCACGTTATCTTTCAGGGGAAGCTTTGCAGGTCTAAACGCAAAGTCTGCTTCCTGTCCAAACAAGACCTTGAAGCACTCTCATACTGCTCTACGCTGCTATTCCAAAGGGTGGTCAAGTTGCCTGCTCGGTTTCTTATACCATCGGACCTTGGTGGTCCACATCTCACATATGACTGGTGCAAAATCCCGCTCTTCAAAGCTTGTCGGGACAGCGGCTTTAATAGACTGTATGTCAACGTTCGGGGTCCCGACGAAAGGGTTCGGAGAGTCCCTTGGAAAGAACTGGCTGTTAGTCAGTAGCCGTTTCGCCTCAAACCCTGACGGGAACTCTCGTCCGAGACGGCTGGGAAACTTCCATATACAATTCAGGGGATGGCCAAACGCAGCCTTCCAGCCAAGCTAGCAGCTAGGAAGCGTCTCAAGTGGACACACGGCTCAGGTGGTATGTGGAACTACTGTGAAGAGGAAAAAGTCTACACCAAAGTCTGGTATACGGAGTACTATGACACGTGGTTCGACCCTGAATCTGGCTGGCCTCATCCAGTGGTATGGTACCTGTCTGACTACTGGTGGGACGGAGACTTCTTTGTGGAAAAGTGGCGTTGGAAGTATCCGTGAAGGCCTCTCCTGGGACTCCCACAGTCTGAACCTCTTGGCGTCTGCGGTGCATGGGCCTGCGGCTTTTGGAGGTCTCTCAGTTCCCCTTCAATCTCCCTTGCATGCTCTTCAACGTCGGTGGTTGGCAAAATACAAAGCCATAAACATTCCCAGCCTTCCTGCGTCAAAGTTGTTAGAATTCAATCTTACTTCATATGCCTTGATTCACCTGGGGTGGGTTCTCACGGTTGGGCTCTCACTCGGCTTTACAGTTCATTTTTGTATGCCTCCGTATCTTCTGGGATCATTGCGTGCTTGGGACATTCTGTTTAATGTCAGGCTTTCTTTCACTACATATATCCGACTGGGTTGTCACTTATGTATATCGGGTTTCATGGGACTCAATGAAAGTTCTCTTCACTTCTTAACCACTTCAGGTCGTGGGAACATATGCCATCAAGATTGGCTTCAAGAGTTACTCAAATTACTCGAGTTACTCAAGTCACTCAAGATATTCTGATCAATTTGAGCACAATCCATTATCTCGCATTACGTTTCTCATTGCTCTCATCTTTATTCTAAGCGAGAGGGTCCTAGTGGTGGATTTCATTCGGGGACATCGGACAGTCTTTCATTCATGATTTCTTTCAGTATCATGGGTTTCAATCCTGGGTTGGGCTTCATCTTTTGTTCTGCCCCTCCCCTCTCCCGCTTCCCCCCCGCTTCTCTCTTTCTCTACCGTGCGCATTTGGCGTATTGGTGGCTTCTCAGGTTTGTGTTTTGGGAGAACCGACCTTTCAAGGCACTTCATCATCATCATCATCCTGACCCTCTGCTTCCTCCCTCCTCCCCCCCCTGCGTCGCCCCCCCCCCTCCCCCGTCCATCCTTGCCTGCGTCATCCCTCGCCCCTCCCCCCTCGCGCCTCCTCGCTCCTCCTTCCCCCTCTTCCCTCCACCCCCCACCCCCCTCCCTGCCCCCTCCTCCCTGCCGCCCGGCCTGCGGGGGCCAGGGCGGATTGCGGCGCCGCGGGCAAGGCCTACGGCTGGTCGACTGACGTTGAGTTTGTTGACGAGATGTCAACGGTGTTTCAGAGTAGTGCGTTGCTGCGCGCCAGCGCCAAGCTGGTCGATGCCCTTGCAGTGAACGCGCCAACGACTAAAGTTGGCCATCAGGGATGCGGTCAAGCATGTCCTCGACAACATCGATCCATACGGCTCTGGCGTTGAGAAGAGCATGCTGCCAGCAGCGCTGCTCTCGCGCGCCTCGGAGGCGCTTCGATTGCGCTAGGCCGCTCGTGGCCGATAAGACGCGTGCGGAGGAACAGGAGGGGGGCCACGCGGTGAGAGGTGGAGGCGGAGGATTGGGCGGGGGGATGGGGGGAGGAATGGCGGAGGGTGATGACGACACCAGGGGGGGAAGAGGATGATGGGGACATCGCGGTGTGAAGGTGAGGCCGACGATGGCCAGGGGGATGCAGGTGCTCACGGTGACAGCGACGTGGAGGATGAGAGGCACGAGGGCGACGGGGATGAGAAGGGCGACGAGGAGGATTGGGATGACGTAACCATAAGGATGATCAGGAGGAATAGGACGATGAGGAGGATGAGGGCGAGGAAGAGGATGGGGAGGACGACGGGGGGAATGGCGGTGAGAAGGAGGAGGGAGATGAGGATCGCTGCCAGGTCGATGCGGCCCAGTTTTTTATTGAACGAGTTGCGAGCAGCAGAGGTTGCCGCTCGCAGCAGGAGGCTGGATCTG